ATCTTTTTTTGATATCATTGCGTAAATGTTTGTAAAATGTTTTTTGTGTTTATATTTTAAATGTTTTTATATTTTATTTTGAATGTCGTTTTGTGTGTAGAATTGGTTACCGGCGCTCTCGGCACGGAATGTTGCGACGGTCCCACACAGCCCGCGCAGACAACGCCCAAAACGCACAAAGCCTATGATAATAGCACCGGTAGCTCAGTATTAGCCGCATCTACGGTACCCGTGCCGTCATCAACAGCAGCCGCAGCACAGCCCCAGCAGTCAACCGCAGGTGACTACGAGTCGGGCCACTCACGCAACTCGAGTCAGACGTCACGAGTTTCCGGGTATAATAGTCTACCGTCTCATAGCAGGCAGGGGTCAGCAGATTCCGGGAATACGAGGTATGCCTGCGGAGGAGCACACCTGCCTGTGCGCTCATTGTAGACATGGGACTGACAGTTAGCATTCCGTTTTTCGTTAGGAATTCCATCGAAGCGATCAAATTCAATAGCGCTGAGAGGAAAAGGATTACGTCGAGCGCCGCCAAGAAGATAGTGGAGGAGCAGAGCCGGATGGACAGCACCCGTGTCAGCGCCGACCGTCTCATCAACGAACTGCTCGAGCAGACGAACCTCGAGGGCGATGGCGACGAGGAGTGCCACGAGTCTGTCGGTCTGGAGCTGTTTGTGGCCAAAGACGGCTCCACCACTCTGGGCACCCGACACGGCACCAAACAGACGGCCGGCGCTCAACACAGGTCCGCCTTCAGGAATGGCCGCGTTTGATGCGCACCACCACCGCTAGTATATCATCCCATTCCCCCTACTATTGATTCAATGCATTATTAAAACGCAAAGTAAGTCATTATAGAAATTAATAAATATATACAAAACTATTGTTTAATTGGAAAATACTTTTAAATTGTTTTTTGAGACAAATATATATATATTATATATTATTTAATAATAATTATATCTAAAGCGCTAAACATTTAAATTATTAATTATAAAATGAAAATATATATTGAAATTACAATTTTTGAATAAGACTGAAGTCTTGAAACACTAAAGCAAACAAACAAAACATGTTTTCTAATGAGATATTTGTTGTATAAATCTGATTATCATTATTATTGTATTCAAAGCTCAAAAATATATATAACTTTTCAAACGACGCTTCAATTAACGATTTTTATATCAAATGATTTAATTGATTGACTCAACGTTTTATTACAAAAACTAATTACTTTTAATAATGATTTGTCAAAAGCGACTAAAATTGACTAAATTTTTCTGTTTCATTAGGACTTTATTTGCAATAACATTAAACAATATTTATATAATTTTTATAAATGATTTTTATGAGAAACTTCTATCGGTTTTGTTAACAGAATAATGTTTTCGTTTATCTTATGTTTATTTTTGTGTAACAAATTGTTTTTCGTTTTGTTAGCAATTGAAGTCAAAAGTCATTGAGAAACACAAAGTATTCATTCATTTCTAGAGACATTCGTTTGTCATTCATTCAAATAGTTGTCCTTTGATTACTGAATATAATAACTGTTTTTACGATTACTTTATTGTATATCAGTTTACATATGTGTTGTTTTCTCGCGAGAAAATGCCTTTCATTTTTATTATCAAACAAAACTAATTATAAAACAAGTGAACATTTATTGATAAAAACAAGTAGAGCACAGTTTGTTATGAAATAACTAATGGCGACAACAATTTTTAGATTCAAAATCTTATTATTATTGAAAATAATTCTCAATATTTTTTGCTTTTTTATCACTCAATTGCAATGCGAGAGAGAGAGAGAGAGAGAGAGAGAGAGAGAGAGATGGGTAGGGAATGGGTAGTTGAGTGCGAATACATAGTAATTACAAAAATATGCCATAATTTCTAATTAATTATTGATTTGTATTCTCAAAAATTTTATGTTTTGTTTGTTTGTGTATATTATGTACAAAATGAATACCCGATTGTAAGCAAAGCCCTTGTTTTCATTCATTCATTTAACTGAACAAAAACTAATTTATTATTAAGTCTTATGTTTTTGCAATTATAATGTTTAGATTGTTTTTATCGTTAATATCATATGATTTGATTGAAAATACATTTTAATTTATAGCAAACGCAAGACACACACAAACAATATATAATATAAACATTTAATACTGTGATTCAATTTTTATTATTATGATTAAAATAATTAAATAAAATTTCACTGAAATAAAGATATATTGAATGATAATTATGAATATTATTGACAAATTGAATTTGAATGGAAAAAATATTTCGAGAAAATAAAATAAAGTATTGAATAAACTATAAAAATGCCCATTTATTTATTGAATTATATTTTTATTAAAAATTTATATATATTTTTTTGATATGTATATTGAATTAAATTCTTGTATTCTTGAGGTACGGGTATATCAGGAACGGAACATCTGTACCATTATTTGCTATATTAAGATATTGCCATAAAATGTGTTCACTATCTCTATAGTGTATGAGAAAAATACAATATAATGTACACTAAACAGAGATAAGACTAATAAGCGGACGATAATGAGCAAAGTAAGTATTGTTCACATTATCGAAAACAGTATATTATATACAATATATTCAAATAATGTACTCAAACGTCTGATAATGTAATAAATTATACATTTTTTACGAAAAATAGATTTAGTTTTACGACTTTTATTATATGCGAACTTAAAGTACTGGATATTATAATAAATGCAAGAATTTAAATGAATCCTAAATGTATATTAAATAAAAGCACAGAATATGCTGGAAGTCATTGATTGCATATTAAATAGAGAAATGTTTGCTTCAAATATAATACTTGCTTCTCATTGCAGGCATTCATACAACACATTCACTACTGGTTTTCACTCGCAATACACTTAATATTCATTTATTAAAAGCCAATAATGAAAAAACTCAATAATAATAATCATTTTCTTTCATTTCATTAATGATTTTCACTTTCATTACTCGTCTCATTAATAACTTATCATAATTGATGTTTTTATAACTACTATATTGTATTCAATTGTTGCCGTGTAAGCAGGGTAGGTTTGCTTTATTTATCAATATTTATTCGCATTTTATTATTGAATATAAATATTCAAGAAACAAAATGATCAAATTACAGGATTTTATACAATAATTATTTACTATTTTGCATACAGTATATCCGTTCAAAACATTTAGTATATATGTGTAGTATATCAGTGGACCCGGATAACTAAGCATGTAAATAAGGCATTAAGTTTCTTATTTTACGATTTCAATTATATACTTTTATAATTTATAGTCATCTGTTTTTCGGAGTTGTTTATACTGTGTCACTTTATTATTCACAAATAGATAACAGTTTCTAATTTAAGTGTTTATATTATAACTCGCAATCTATTTGATAATTTTAATAATCATTTTAATCGCTAAAATGAGGGAAAATATAGTGCAATCGCATATACTTTCTCAACACTTAGTAACTGCTGGTAAATTACAGCCAAATTGTGTTCAATAATTAATACACAAACACACGAACAGAATATTAATTAAAATCATAAAGAATTGTATGAATGGTATGAAGCAAAGTGTCATTTCATTTCAATAATACAGTGGAGACTCGTAAGATATTTTAATCACTTACCAGAGAACCAGACTTTAATGTAATGAATAAAAATGTTATCTTAAAATTTAGGTGTGGACTACATTGAAGCACCGTTAGTGTAGGGAAAGCATATTTTTGGATACAATTAGCGAGAATAGCGAACAATATTGTATGCATTCATATCATATATTTCTACCATAAAGAGAGAACTGATTTAAAGTAATAAATAATAATAAATAAATGGACTGTTAGTACAAAGTTGGGCGGAAAAGGATGTCATAACAATGGATAGTAATCCTGATTATCAGAGACTAATAGGTGAGGGGTCATGAGTCACGGAATTGGGCAATGAATCTAAACCATGAGAATACTAGTGGGCTATGAATGAGACAAATAATGCTGAATAAGAGTGACAATAGGTTTGCATCCAATTAAATGCCATTAAATCACGAAAATTGCTACCAATTTGAGGCAAAAAAACACACACAACGAGTATAACAGCAAAAAATATTTATTAATTTGTTTAAAATGTATTTAATCGCTAATTATAACGAAATGGACAGAAAATAAAGTGACAAATAATTACATGAGTGAAGAGAAAATACAATTAATAATAATTATAATAATAGTTATAATAATAATTATATATCTTTTGTATAATATATATAATGATAATATAGTTTTCTTATGTGTGTATATATATAGCATCGAAATAAAACTTTTTAATTATTATTCTGTTGTTGTCTTAACTCTTATTAAAATTGTTTCTCTAATTAATTAGTAAAATATGTTTTTAATCAACAGAAAAACACGTAATAATCGTTTGGTTTCTGTAAAACATCGATAAAATTACTTTACAATTGATTTTCATAAATGTTTGTTACATATAATGTTGTTGTCATTTGTAATTAGATACTTAATAGTATTTATAATTGGGATTCAAATGGATTTGATTTTATATTATTTATATATATATTTTAATCTCAAAAACAATTTATATTTACTTTACTCTATCATATAATTAGATGTCTTTTAATGATATATAATGAGCGCCAAAATTGTGGGACAAAAATATTTTTACTCTTATTTTGTGAGTGAATTACAAGTCTCTGATTTAAGCATTAATTTTGGCTTTAAATTCAGTGTTATTATTATTATTTAATACAATTATGTGTTTGTTTTGAAACACATTTCTGTTGTTATTATGTTTTCATTATTTTGGTTATAATACAAGCAATGATTGGCAGGAAATTGAGAGACACTATGAAAACCCGAAGGCTTTCCTATACAGAGAGTAATTGTTTTGTCGTTTAGTATTTTTGTGATAAATTGTTTTTCCGACAAATAAATTCTTATATCAATTACTTGTTATATAATAGTCTTGTGATGTAATGTTGTATTATATAAGATATAAATAAAAGTATTAATCAATTCATTCAATATGCATTCCCAATGTTTTATTCACATACACTTCCCATAGAGTAATGTGTTATGTATTCATGAATCCGATTCTCAAACGTGTCATTCATTTCACTCACAAAATATTATTAGTCTTAAAGTTGTTACGAAAAAACAAGCGTTTGATTTGTTTTCATAAAACTTTCTTTTAATATAATTTAAATTTAATATTACTTTTTTGGTCGTAATCTAGAGTTTTGTCATACATATAGCGTCTTATGTCTAAAAAAGGTTAAAATCTAATGATAGCTGAAAATAAAGAAAATGATAATAAAATTCTTGATTTGATTTACTGTTGAAACAAAACAATGTTTAAACAAAAAAACATAAAACGATATAAATTTAATTTTGCGGACAAATTATTAATAATTTCTCAAAACAGTTATATATATTGTTAGACATAAAATGACAAAATATTATATAATGAGATAAAATAAAAGTTAAAAATTACAAAAATAACTGAAAGTGATGTGCGTTTGTAAGCAGCGCTACAGTCAGTTCACAATATGTTGTCGTATTTCACTGATTACTTCAAATGACACCAAATTGATTGTTTGCTAACAAATTAGACATCGATTTAAACTCTATATTTAGTATACACTGTGTTTTAACTATAATCAGAGGATATATTATATTTAATTTCAATTAAAAGAAAGTTTTCATATTTTGTTTTGTTTGTCATTCAATTCACAGTTACGGACAAAACACTACATACTTGTTATAAACTTTTAAACAAAATTGTCTCATTACATAAACACTTAAATATTACAGTATTGTATTGAATTTATAAAAGTAATGGTACTTGAAAACTATATCTTTGTTTTACTTCTCTATTTAATATCGAAAATACGGTTTACTTTACTTTTCATTAAGGTTTCGAAAAAATAAAATTCTTGTGTTTTGTTTCGGTATTTTGTCGACAATTGTTTCATTCATTTCACACAAAAATATTATAATGAATGCAAAAACTACTGACAGAAGAGTTAATGTTATTCATAAATGGTTTGTCAAAATATACAGTGTTTTCTCAATTACATCAAACATTATAAACATATTTTCCGATTTGTATCTCAAATCTCAACACCAATTATAAGATCACAAGAGCTTTTGTTTTGACAACAAAAATGTTCATTAAATACATAAATGAGAACAAAACATAAAATTAAAACAAAAATAGAGAAACAAATAATTAGATATCACTTGAATTGCAGTCGAGTTTCAGCTAATAATGAGAAAAATATTGACAACAAAAATGTTCATTAAATACATAAATGAGAACAAAACATAAAATTAAAACAAAAATAGAGAAACAAATAATTAGATATCACTTGAATTGCAGTCGAGTTTCAGCTAATAATGAGAAAAATCAAAATCAAAATCAAACCAAAAAAAACTTTCCTAAACTTTTTGACTTAAAAACTTCATTTATTTATAATAATAACGAAATAAGCATTATAGACATAGACATAGATATACATATAATTAATATATATATAATATAGTGATATATAATTCAATCTCAAAAATATTTGATATAAATATAATTCATTTGCTATTTTTAAAGGCACATACGGTGTTAGTAAATATCTATCAAAACAATTAAATTTTATATTTGTTTTACACTTTTCTAGACTTATCCCGAATTTGTTTTTAACCAGAAATTGGTAGAAAAATAAACTTTCAGTGAAATGCTATTCAAAAGTTACAAACGTTTCGAGGTTTGAGATACAAAACACATGATGACAGAAAATAGGCTATAATTGTCGTGCAATTAGAAAACACGTGTTATTACATGTAATCCTGAATTTATAACGAAATAATATACAAAAAATCTCGTGTTTTAAATAATATAATAATAATATTGATTAGAATTAGTCGAACATATGATTTGCTTTGAGATAATCAGATCTGAAGATCAGTTAATCATAAAAATAATTACAATGTTTTAATAATTAGAAAATATTGTTCAATATCTCTATCGTAACTGCTCTTTAAAACATTTATCTCTCATATAATTATATCAAATAATAACTCAAAGTTTTATAACAATTCTCAATGATTAGTCGTAAGGCAATCGAAGTATTTGTCAAAATAAAAACGAAAAAATAATTAAAAATTCAAAACTTATATTATATGTGTTTCTCTTTAGTATTATATTCTTTAACAGAATTCTTAAGTCAAAAATAATTGTAATTTCTTTTTTACTATACATATAATAACATAAAAATGTTTTGTGTTTTTCAATAATATAATAATATTTTCAGAAGGCTTTGTACTACAAATAAAATTATATTTATAATATATATATATTTCTATAACAACTGTAGCGCTTTATCAGGTATTCATTAAATTCAAAAATAATTAGACATTTGCTTGAAAATGAAATACAATTATGAAATTAATTGTCTCTTAAAATACTCTAATTATTCTTCTCAATGGTTATCAATAATCGCATGAATTCTGACATAAATTTCATTTCAACGAATGGATGAGAAATAATAAACACAAAAGAAAACAAAAAAAGACAATATTTCATGAAAACCTATGTATTATATAAAGAATATTCTTGTGTGTCGTGTATGTTGTGGTCTGTTGTGTATTCGAGATGTGTATTCAATAGACAAGAATTTTTACAGAATATTCTGTGCTTTTTCTTTAGAAAAAAATAACCACTAATTCATTCAAATGTAAAAAACAATTACTTTTTAAACACATTTATATATATTTATAATCTTTACTATAACTTCAAAAAATGATTTTTCAAAATAAAAGTAAAACTGAAAAACAATTCTATATTACATAACATAATAATAATATTAATAATAATAATGAGTAATAATTATTATAATAATCATAATAATTGTAAAGTGATTCTATAATTGCTTTGTCATACAACTTATATATAATAATCTATATATAAATGTAAACTTGTTTCTCGATTTCGGGTTTCAATTTGTGGTCAAATATCATAAAATTTCAAATAAATAAATCGAAAAACACATCGCAAACGGAAAACAAATGAAACGCTAATAATATTTAAACACTTTCTCTAACAAATAATACGCTAATCAAGTGTTTAATAATAATCAAACGGGCGAAACGGTATCGCACGGGGCTATTGAGTTAGCGGGTGGACAGACATCTAATCATATGAACGAAAAAACAAATGTACTGTAAGTGCCGGCGCCCACAGAGCGAAATAGAGAGAAAGGGGGCCGACACTACAAGAAAAAGACGAGAATATAACTGTGAAAAATATGTTTTAGAAGTTATTATTTATATAAAAATGTATTGTCTATCGAATAACGAAAGTATTATTTCTTCTTGGCGTGAAGCATCTCCATAAGCAGGGTCTGTGTGGGCGCACTGCCGCCCATATGCTTATAGTAGAGAAACTAATTTAATAGATTTATACACAAAAAACAAACAAATAATGGTATGGCAGACAAAGAGCCATGATATTTGCAATTGAATGGTATTTATAGTGGAAAAAATTGCATAAAAATATGAGCAGAGCTTACAATTCATACACAATATTTGCGGCAAAAAATACCAAATATATGAATATATCGTATATATAATTGTTTAGAGAGAACTACTTTCCACACATACATACATATAGCTGTGATTCGTGTACTACTGACCCACTTTACTGTGGGGGCTCAGGCTATGCAGCCAAATGTGTGCTAAACACCAGCCATACATACATTTTTCAATTGAATTTCACTATCACTTTCAATTTCACTACATTTTTCAATTGAAATTAATGTATAAATAAATGCTAAATATATGGGGGAATCACATGCAAACATAACTGTATTTTTATTGCTAAACACACCACTAATAAAGTGCTCAATACTTTTAATATCTAATCCCTACTCTCTCTCTCTCTCTCTCTTTCTCTCTCTCTCTCTCTCACTCACACACACACTCACTCACTCACTTTCTCTCTCATCACAACCGCAAACAACTTACAGTATAAACAAATATATCGATTATACTATTAAAATATACTCAACAGAAAAAAATAACGAGTAAATTATTTATATAAAAGCGTCAAAAATGAGAGCAAAAATAAACAACAATTGAATGAGAGATTTATTAATGTATTTATTATTTATGCGTTTATGTAATCGGTAATTGAAATAAAAACTAATTATTTTAGCATTCATTTCAATTTCAATATTCAAATCATTTAATTAATAGGAATAAAAACGAAAAAAATATATATTTTCGAAACTTTGACCAAAAAATCAAAAATTAACCAAAAAATGAGAAAAACGAAGAAAATACACACAAAAATGGGATCAAAGATAATACTATCCGCGATATTATGTTTAGATTAAAAAACAAAAAACATTTTTTGTGTAAAGAATGTTTGGTTTTATATTTAACCAAAAAATTATAATTAATAACATATTATATAAAATGTAACAAATACTACTCTCAACAATATTATATAATAGTGCTTATGAACCACGGCTTGAACTCCGACCTCTTAGCCTACCTATCAATTAGTTGCTATCAGACACTCGTATAAACTATAATTAAGTAAAAACTAATTAATCGTTTGTCTCAAACACTACCCAAAGAATTCTCAGTCAAGTAGTTATGCGAAGAATAATAGACCTTTTGTTTTGCTTTTAAGTCAATAAATTAAGTCATTATTATTTTTACATAAATATCATGAAAAGCATTTCGACTATCAAACCAAAAATCAAATGTGCTATAAGTCTCTCGCAACCAAACAAAAAAAGACAATAGAAACCCGCGAAAAAGGCTATTAAGAAACAAATATTACAATAATATTTGTATATTTGAATTGCATCTAGAGAATAACTAATCGACGTACAAAATTAAATAACAAAACAATAAAATAAATTACAAGTGAAAGTGAATCGAGTATTAATGACTGCCAAAAACGTTAATGAATTCCTATGTATAATAACATTTCAATAGCAGTCGTGTAGTAATGAAATACATAAAAACCGCATATTATTCGTACGGTATATACAGCCTATGCCTATGGGATGCAGGCGCTGGTTGAGAGGGCTGTTTGTGTTAATGGTATTGGAAATAAAGTGTATATAAGTATTATAAGATATATAAAAAACAAGATCGCCCGCAGGCATGAGTGCCAGAGAAAGTAATGTTAAGAAATAGCGAGAGACACACAAATATACTGTAATTTTTCGTGAATCGCATTTTCACTTGACCTACATTTCAGGCAAAATACTTATAATACAAATATCTTTATATATTCATTATAAGACAGCATATATTTATAAATATATATATTTTCATTTTATTATATCTATGTATTATATATTTCTATTTAACGCTAACATTCATTTATATAAAACTCAACATTTCTCAAACAAAAAACAAAAACATTTTTCTCTTATTATTATTTTTACACTCAATTCCCTTGTATTTTAAGTGAGAATAAAATGAGAAATAAAACATAAGACTTGACACAAACCATACAATTATACAACAGTTATAGTAATTAAAACCAAAGGAAAGCGAGAGGAAATGCATCGCCAGTTCCTCTAAACGCTGGTGTATATGACATACAAATCAAATACGATTGCAATTTATAACTGTATTTTCGCTCAGCATTTGTATTACAATTAGTCTTAAAGAAAATTAAAGTATAATAGAGTTATGCATACAATAAGACAAATGGCAGTGCTTTTGTTATAACGCTATTATAATATGACTTATGATAGCCATAAATGGCATTGAATTTGAATTTCACTAAAACTAATTAATTATTTAAAACCAAGATTTAAATTTAAAACACTAATTAAAAAAGCAAAACAAAAAACTCAAACCCATTACCACCACAAAAGTGAGTGACAAAGTGGACGTACCTTAAGATCCTTGAAGAAGATGCTATTGCGAGCCCAGTCTACCTGTGCGAAGAGGGACTGGTCGATCACTTTGCACATGAGCTCGAATAAGTCGACTTCGCACTGGTTGTACGTCTGGTTCTGGAGGAGGCCGAAGAGCTGCGACTGCCAGTCCTTGTCGTCGGGCGCCGACAACTGGAACTCGCGTATGAGCGCCGGTATCTTACCGACGGCGCCCGTCGTCAACTGGATGGCCGTCACGCCGGCGCTCAGCGACCCGGTGGCAGTGGACGGGGCGCCCTCGTAGTGGAAATGGGCCCCATTTTTCGGCGACATAGCGGTGGGCGTACCGGCGCCTCCGCCAGCGCTGGTAGCACCGGGTCCGGCCGTCACCCATTTCATTAGGTCCGGTGCGCCGACGGGCGAGTGTATTGTGGTGGCTGTGGGCGCGCCGGGCGTTTGCGCGTGCGGTGGCTGTTGTGTGGGCATCGGCTGTCCGGGCGGTGGGGGTCCGGCCGACACCGTCACGAAGTGCTGGCCCTGAGAGGCGGCTAATGGCTGCTGACCGGGAGAGGGCGACGAGTCGGGCGATGATGTCGATGACGATAACTGTGGGATTTGGATCAACTCCTGTTTGATACCATCGGCGCTGTAGATGTGGGCAGTGGTGGGCACGCCGTGCAGTGCTGCCAAGAAGTGAGAGCCCACTTCGCCTCCTGTGCCGCCACCGGTGTTATGGTTGAGAGTGACCGGTGCCTGACATTGGGGTCGAGACAACTGTTTCTGTCGCAGCAGTTGTAATCTGCGCGCTCTGTCGCGCTTATACATCGGACCAAACTTATTGCGACCGCCTCTCATACGGTCCGCACGAACGGCTAGGGAGGGTAGACACCAAACCGGTATAGTAGGCATCCATACAGTCATAAGTTAGGGGGACAGAGAGGAGTGGGGGAGAGATGGAGCAAAAGGCGCGAGCAATGAACGGGTCATACCTTCTAACTTCATACCGACGTCGAGGCACTTCTGAAATCTACAAAACGGACATCTCTTGCGCTGGGATTTGTCGATATGACAGCTCCTGTCGGCCACACAAGTGTAGACTTTCTTGTTCTGAACGGTTCGCTTGAAGAAGCCCTTACAGGACTCGCACGTCAGGAGCCCGTAGTGATAGCCACTGACTTTGTCGCCGCAAACGGGACACAACTCCTCGATGCCCTCCTTGGTGTCCGGGTGATCGTGTTGGACCGGGTGGTGGCCATAGTCCATGAGACCGCCGCCGGGCGACGACATGTTGGGTCCGCCTATCGTCAAACCGAGTCCCGACTGGCCAACACTGGACGGTAACTGTGCCGGCGCTGGAATATAACAGTGACCCGTATTGTCAATATTGTACGACATTGTGGTCATCATTGTCTCAAGAATTGAACACTTGTTTCGCGACTTATTTATATGAAAGTTATTATTATTATTATTATTATTATAACTATTTCTATCGGTTTTTGGTGTCAATACAGACAAGTGTTTTGGGTTTTTGATTCAATCAAGTTTACAATCAATGCAAATGAGAGAAAATAGAAACCAAAGGAAATTAAAAAAAGAGAAATATTCAATGAAAAATTTAAATTCCTTGCACTGAACCGGCTCATATAAGTGTCTCTCGTACTTCTATCTGACCAGGGGCACTACGCCCACTCGTATACCCATCCCATGGGCTCTAAATTAAGGGAATATTTTGAAAATAACTCTCGATTTGGAGAATATTCACAAAATATGGTTTTGAGTGAAATATTCCCAACAAATACATACAGAAAAGTTGGAAAACAAATTGTTACACCACTTTGACTTTACGCCACATTTAGAGGCACATAAGGGGGAGGGGAGGGAATGGACGGAAATATTGCACTCAAAACACATGACTCGGGACTTAATAACGAGATTCTGTACTAATTGAGAGCAATATTAGAAAATAATATTGTATTATATATTTAGCTGTGATTGTGGTTCAGTACATGGAATTGAAACTTTGATCCATAAGCATATAATTTGGCATTTTATGAGACGGGATGTGTGTGTCTGTGCTCTCGGGTAATAGTCCTCACGACACACACACTCAACAACACTCACGAATCGTAGACACAATACACGCACCACTTATTAATACTGTCTGTGGTGTTGGTCTCAACGTGTGATCAAATTCAGGGCACAAACTATTTTTACGTAACAAAATAGACTCTACTTTAGCGGTCAATATCCGAAAGCACAATAAAATTTATATAAAACACAACAATTTAATAACAATCAAATCAATCACTTTTTGTCCCAAAGTTTATCAACAGTTTACTAATATAATTGAAAGGCACAAACATTGTGAAGTGTCAAAAAATCACCATGCTCATTATCATTGAACTATACTTTGAGAAGTCATGTGTTGTACAAAACATGACTTGTGTTTTGGAAAACAATAATAAGAAATATTGAGTAAAATAATAGTCAATACAAAAAATAGCCCACTGTTTTAGGGGGGCTAACAGTATATAGTGGTAGACAACGAGTGAAAGTGTTTTCAATTAATAACAACAAAATAATAATAATAATAATCAACTAAAAGTCACACATAAACATAACAGTCCCGTTCCCATCGACGTCTATATACATAATGAAATATAAGGCTCACATCAGCGCCAAACTCCAAGTGCTGCTAAACTAGTGAAAGCGCATGCATTGGTGGATAGGGCTGGGGTAGTATACCAGCGATATGTGTGTTATAGCAATAGGCTTTCCAATACACACACACATAGAGCGCAAAAAAAGTAAGAGTATGTATGTATGTTTTGATCTTGACCCGGATACACACAAACACACATTTCGCTAGAGCCTGTGCTTTCGTATAACTAATATGAAAAAAAGTGAGTTACGAATTGACCCATATTTTTAAGTAATCCGTTATTTTTATTATTGAATAACAGTTTTTCAGATTTATTAATAATAATAATAATAATAATGTATGTGCTGCTTTTTTCTACTGATTAACTAATTTTGGTAATAATTTTTTTCGCTTTAAATGCCTCGCGATAAGCCATTTACTCAATCCCGGGGATAAGCTGTTAGAGTAAGGGGTTTAGCGGTGGATATGATGTGGACTATATTTTGCTGAGAGGGGGTGGCATTATATCGCATTCTCTATGGCAATACATGTATGCTATTTATGTGTGTATTATTATCAGCACAAAAAACAACAAAATACAATCCTGACACACATTTTCCACGGCTTAACCCCTTTCCATACACAATATGCAATCGGAGGGGTACGGGGGTTATGAAACCCGTAAATACCAATCACTTTCATTCAAAATAAACCGAAATACACATAAAAGTGCCTAAATTTATGCCCGTTATTTTACACTGGAAATGGTAGTCCCTGGTGGTGTGCCCATGTCCTCCTGATTCCCAGAATGCATTTTATTTGCATATATTGTCAACAAATTTGAGTCATTGAAGACTTGCAGTTTGCGATTGAAATTAACTTTTCAATCAAAGTTGTTGTAATATATTTGCGATTTGCGTTTAAACGACATTTAACATACTATTAATTATGAGTTTGTTTAGTATTTGTTGACAAAAAAACTTCATATCAATGGGTATTTGAAAAATATTAAGTGATAAATAATAATGAGTTTATAAACACTTCTGATTTATATATAAATACAATTAGTCTTATTTCCATTGAGCACTTAATACACTAATAGACATGTACCGTATAGTGTACTAAAAATACCACGTTTATTATTTATCTATTAAACCAATTACTCTATACTAGAAGTATATAAATAGTGCTCTAATTGTGCACACATTTAGCCATTATTTGTTTATACAAAACACATATCAGCACAAAAAACAACAAAATACAATCCTGACACACATTTTCCACGGCTTAACCCCTTTCCATACACAATATGCAATCGGAGGGGTACGGGGGTTATGAAACCCGTAAATACCAATCACTTTCACTCAAAATAAACCGAAATACACATAAAAGTGCCTAAATTTATGCCCGTTATTTTACACTGGAAATGGTAGTCCCTGGTGGTGTGCTAACCCATGTCCTCCTGATTCCCAGAATGCATTTTATTTGCATATATTGTCAACAAATTTGAGTCATTGAAGACTTGCAGTTTGTGATTGAAATTAACTTTTCAATCAAAGTTGTTGTAATATATTTGCGTTTAAACGACATTTAACATACTATTAATTATGAGTTTGTTTAGTATTTGTTGACAAAAAAAACTTCATATCAATGGGTATTTGAAAAATATTAAGTGATAAATAATAATGAGTTTATAAACACTTCTGATTTATATATATAATACAATTAGTCTTATTTCCATTGAGCACTTAATACACTAATAGACATGCACCGTATAGTGTACTAAAAATACCACGTTTATTATTTATCTATTAAACCAATTACTCTATACTAGAAGTATATAAATAGTGCTCTAATTGTGCACACATTTAGCCATTATTTGTTTATACAAAACACTATAAAATGATTTTACTGTATTTTAAATAAATTAATAAATCAATCATTTTATTCAATTTCTCGCTAACACTACATTTCTCTGACATTTAAAAATTGAACTAATTTTTTCATTTTTGGTTAGAAAATTCAAAAAATGCATTTCATTAGGAAAAGCGATTGATTGCACAGTTTAGCGCCTTATATGAATTATTAGTATTATTCATATTAATACATATCAACTATTAGCCAATTGTCGGGTGTGTACACCGACTGTCTATTCAAACCACAAAACGCTTAAACATTATATTCAGATCCCTGCGATTCAAATCAAATAAGTATTTATTATATATTTAAAAACGTTTTAACATAAAAAGGTAATAATGAAAATTGATTTATTAAATGCAATCTATAAAAATAAAATGCATTCAAAAACGCCAGCATTTCTTAGGACTACTTAAATACATAATAGAGGGAAAGGGAGAGAGGAAAGACTTTTTCAGTGCTTTTCAAACCACAAAACAATTCTAATAATTAATGTAAAGCCAATTGAATATAAATATAATATAATGGCATATATTGTGAACACATTTCTTATTTCTTTCGCTTTCAGTGTGTTTTGAAACTCAATCATAAATTGTTTAGAGAATAAGACATTTGTAATAAGGCTTCAGAGGATTAGTGAATAAAATAAGAGTTAATAATAATAGTAATATTGTTATTATAAAATATAATCAAAACGTTTTGGAATTCCCAGAACTTTACTATAAATTATAAGTTTTTTTCAGTACATCCTTTCAGTACACAAGTGATACAGTCGTTTCAGATTATAGTCTACCCATTATTATCGACATATACTGTACTATAAATCAAGAGTACACTGTTTGGCGGTAGTGATCAATAATAAGTTTTTTTTCTAGAAATAACTTTATATCAATTGAATTATTATTAAATACTCAAAGATATGCATTATTAACAGATTAAATCACTCAATATAGTGTAGTTGTATAATAAATTTTATGTATAAATAAAATTCAAGGGAAAGGGAGAGAGGAAAGACTTTTTCAGTGCTTTTCAAACCACAAAACAATTCTAATAATTAATGTAAAGCCAATTGAATATAAATATAATATAATGGCATATATTGTGAACACATTTCTTATTTTTTCGCTTTCAGTGTGTTTTGAAACTCAATCATAAATTTTTGTTCAGAGAATAAGACATTTGTAATAAGGCTTCAGAGGATTAGTGAATAAAATAAGAGTTAATAATAATAGTAATATTGTTATTATAATAATATAATCAAAACGTTTTGGAATTCCCAGAACTTTACTATAAATTATAAGTTTTTTTCAGTACATCCTTTCAGTACACAAGAGATACAGTCGTTTCAGATTATAGTCTACCCATTATTATCGACATATACTGTATATAAATCGAGAGTACACTGTTTGGCGGTAGTGATCAATAATAAGTTTTTTCTAGAAATAACTTTATATCAATTGAATTATTATTAAATACTCAAAGATATGCATTATTAACAGATTAAATCACTCAATATAGTGTAGTTGTATAATAAATTTTATGTATAAATAAAATTCACATCAAAAGCATTTGTACTCGTATTGAGAAAATACAGGACTTTTCTGTCCATCAAATGCTAAATAATTATAATTTTTCTATTCATATAAAAAATATTATTATTAATATATCAATTGTAAGGCAAAAGAACATTAAATTTAAATTATAGAAAGTTTGTAATGAAATGTGAAATGTTTTGTATTTCATAACACTTTCATTTGGAAAGTTTGGAGAGAGAGAGAGAGAGAGAGAGAGAGACTAAGGACTAAATAAACAAATATTATCCTGAATCTAAACTATGTTTAAACAAAAG